CTTCCGATGTACAATTGTACACTTTTACAGCGATACTACACCTTCAATTATACTTGTTGAAAGCGTAACATTATCGTAATGGCTGTCGAATATTCGGGGGTGGTCGGTAACTCTAATATACATATATATTATTCGCATCTGGTGCGAAAAACTTAAGAACCCTAGAACATCACGGAATATTGCAAAGAATTGCGGTATCGACAACCTGGGGAGGAAAAAGAGGAGAGCAACTTACCCCCGTAGAACATGAAGTGTCGACAGTTGGCGTTCTCCACTTGAGCGTCGGAGTACAATCATAAAAATGTGCCTCGAGTTTCTCGTCATTACAACTGCAAAAAGTTTGCTAAAAGTGGTCTTAGTCGAGTATCTTCTTGTATAGACAATGTTATTGTTCTGTATGATGTATAATTATTCCAGATTGATGTTTGATGAAGGAATATGACTATCAAAAAATCAGATTTATCAACAGTATTCCAAACCAATTATGATGTTATTGGCTGTAAATTTATACTAGTAATGATAAAAATTAATTACAATAAATTTGATTATATTTTATTGAATGTTCTATCCAATAATTTAATTGTCATAATAGGATTTTATCAATAAATTCAATAGTTTTACTTAAAATAGGTAATAATAGATTATTTATTACTTAAAATATTTGCAGTGATGGCATATTATATTTTTGGTTTATTTTCTGTTCCATTAGAAAGAAGTACTTTAAGGACACTTAACAAATTTATAAATTTCCTAGTAAGAAATTGTATAAATTCATATGCTTCAATTATATCATAATAAAATTCTAATGTTTTTATTGATTACTATTTTTAATTAAACTTATATGAAAAAAAAGAGTTTAATTTGTAGGTTTTTTTGGAACAATGGCTTATTTATTTTTTTAGCTAAAAGTCGATTGAGTTTGTAGTTTTACAAATTTTAACATAGCAATTGTCTGTATTATCTGAAAATACACTTAGCTATAAAGAATAGATTGTACACAATCATTAAATGGTTAATTAATAGTAATTAAATTTGCAATGGAATTTAATGACTAATGAAAGTTACGTTAAAATCATCAAATATTAAATCTATATTAAATAATTGATTAAATAATTAAATTTAGATTGAAAAAAAATTAATTTAAATGTTAAAACGTTAGAAGACTTGTAAGTATGGATCTTTAAGTTTATTAAAATTCTTGTAAAATTATTTAAGATACAGTTTTACAATTTATAAGTAAGTTCATTTATTTTATATAAAATATTAATTCTTTGGTTCCATTGAATTGTTTCTTTGACAAATTATATGGTTTCACTTTTATTCAATATTTACTTCTACTTCCTCTTTTTCTTTGTATTCTTCAGATCTTTAACCTACATTTCTATATAAATACACATTTTTAAGTTGTCAATATTATAGATATAGAGGAAATCGTATTATTTTAATATTTATTAAGACATTAAATTAAATTAATTATATAATAAATATTTTTAAAAATTCCAACAGAAGAATAAATCACTACCTATCTAACACGATATATCAATTGTGTATTTTTTCTTTATAGCATATTCGATTTTTTTTTTAATAATTGCAGAATTATTTGTAAAATTTTTACAAGATTATGTATTTAAACAATATATATATAGTTTTTTTTTGGTTCATTGACTTTGACATATTCGATCTAAATTTGTAATTTTAATTTATTTCCTATATATAATAACTCTTAATTATCAAATACTCTTAATAGTCAACTAAAATTTATCGAATAATAAATAACAATTATTTATTATCAAAATAATTATTAGCATATGGTAATAATATTCCATTAAGTTTGAACGTTTAATGTCAATACTCTTTCATATGAAACAATATTTTACAAGTTGTAGTTTCTTAATTCACACGAAGAGGCATCTCTTCTACTATCAACTTCGGAATAATTAAAAGACCTACATGATATTAAAATAATAGCAATGATCCTGTATTATCTTATCAGCGATCAATATTTACTCATCAATAAATAATTTTTCAGTTTTCTTAAGATTTTAAATAAGCATAATCATAAATAATAAACGCATGATTATGATTATTACATGCATTCGTCAGGTAAGAAGCGTAAATACTAATAAAATAATAGAATTACCAATTAATTTGCTATACATAGGAAAATTAATTGAGCCGTACACTCGAGGTATCATTATAAATATAACTATACTAACTTTAAAACATATAATATATAGAATATTATTCACAAAATATCATTAACAAATAGTTTGAACAAACAATTGAATAAATAGCGTATTTAATTAAAAACATTTATCCTATATCAATGAAAGGAAACCAAATATTACCCTACTCAATCTTACCCAAAAAACACACGGTACTGTGAACAGAGCTAAATGTTTCGAAAGATATTCTATACAATTTGTTAAAGAGGGAGGGGAGTGTAAAATGCAAAAAATTAGAATCGATGAGAATGATCCGTAGAGCCATTCGCGTTCCTTCGAGCAGATATAAATCGATCTAGCTTGTCGACGACTTAATTCGTTTGTGCCTATCGCTGTTATGTCGTTCGAGCCCCCCGCGAGGCAAAACTCAATTTCAACCCCGCGCACAGCATGATTGAATTTGAGAGGCGAGCGATACGTAGTGTGACAAAGAGAGTGAAAGAGAGAAAGTGAGGGACGGAGTCGCGTATGCACGCGATCGTCGACTACATAGGGCGAGTTATCGCTAACTGACAATAAGTTGCTAGCGAATATCTGCGTTCTCTGCGGGACGAAAACTGATCGGACTGCTGGATACGTAACGAGGTTCTGCCACAAAGTAACTTAAAGCAATTCCGCCCACCGCTCAATTGTCCAACAAATGCATTAATAATTCAAATTCTGTCTTTGGGTAGTCAGAGCTTCGTGTTCTTCGTATCTATTTTAATCGATATACCGCCGAGATTCTTTCTTTCATTAAATTATTTGAATTTGTATCGTGCAAATGTTTATCAAATCTTATTGCGTGATGTGTACCGCTTAAATAATTCGAATTTCTCCCATAAGAATTTAATTATAGATCAATTGTGGCTCCAATGTTAAATACATTTAGTATTTGAAACCGAACTCAATGAAAAATTTTCGTTGCATAAGTTATTCATTTTTATCTCTTAAAATCATATATAAACAAAGAATCTACAAACATTTCATTTTACATAGATAATATGAAACTATTATTTTTATCTCTCGTTTCAAATAAGAATTACAGTTTTTCTCAAATATACATTACTTTCGATCCCTTATAATTTATTTCTATAGTTCGAACTATTATTGTTAATAAAATTATTTTCATAGTTGATAAAAGTATTTTTATCTACTATTATTAGCAATGCATGTCGAATTAAATATATTTGTTATTAATATAAATTAATACTATAAGTTTTCATATAAATCATTATTCCTTGAATTTTTGAAAAGATTTCTAAATCTGTAAAAAGCTTTTAAAAACAATTATTAGCCATTTCAGAAAAATACGGTGTTAAATTTATATGCAGTAATTATAAGAAAATTAATTGATCAATTACTTAATTATATTAAACAGTATATTTTAATAATGTAGTAAAAAACGAACCTACCCGCTTTTTGGGAGAAGGCGTCTCCTTCAAAGCGAAACTGATTGGTATCTTAGAGGTATCGGAGGCTCGCGGCGATCGAATGTGTCAGGCCGCTCTTGGAGATTTAAAAATGGCAATACGTGCTGCTGGAGAACACAAACAACGAATTACTGTTCAAATCAGTATAGATGGACTACGCTTAAGAGACGAAAAAAGTGGAGTATGTATAAACCGTATAATATTTATTTTTAAACATACGAGTGTGAATACTAGAATATCTAAAAAATAATGTTTTAGGATTGTTTATACCATCATCCAGTTCACAAGATATCGTTTATAGCACAAGATATGAGTGATTCTCGAGCATTTGGTTATATTTTCGGATCACCTGATACTGGTCATAGATTTTTTGGAATTAAAACTGATAAAGCTGCAAGTCAGGTATAAAATTTTCTATATGTAATAATAGTATATAAATAAATGTGTATAAATTGTATATAAATTGAGATACGTATAAGGCAATCTTGATAGTTATTATATTTAATTTATATTAAAATTATTCTTTAATAACATTTTCATTTTATAGGTGGTTATTGCCATGCGTGATCTCTTTCAAGTTGTTTTCGAATTAAAGAAGAAAGAAATTGAATTAGCAAAGCAGCATATTGAACATAATGTTATTAAATTCACTACTTATACAGTTGAAAGATCACCAGATACTAAGGTACATTATTTACTAAAATATAAAAAACTTAGCATTCAACTTAATTAAAAAGTGATATTTTAATTTGAAATACTTTCTTTAATTAAAGGGTGCTGGAGGAAATGAATCTTCATTACATAGAACGTGTTCTGACAATGACAGATCTAAAAAACATGAAACACCAACTGGAGTTGTTGCCGATTTGTTAGATTTACAATTTGAATTAAATTCATTGCAACAAGGAATTAATCAAATGGAAAAAATAACACCAGATAATCCAAGACCAAATGAGGATCCCTTTGAAGGAGACCCTTTTGGTGATTCTTTTACAAATGTAAAGGTATAAATTCTTAAACTTACGATAGTAACGAAAACATTGTATTTGAGATTTTATATTATTTCTAATAGATTAAAGACAAATTTCAACCATTTTTACCTCCACCGCCTTCATCTTCTAAACGCCATTTTGAAAGGCAGCAAACTGTTCAGCAACAAACACCAACATCTGATACACCTAGTCCAGCTAATATAGTTAATAATAAAACTCCGCCTCCTCATAGCACAGCACACTGGTTTGATAAAGAAACGGAAGACTTATTTACCGAGGGTGAATTATCTAATTTAACTAGAAAAAATTCTTCTAGTGACGAAGATAAAGATACGGTGAGATTACTACATAAAAATAGTATTTATTATATTTTTTACAAGTATAAATTCTATTATATGTTCTGACTAATTTATAATATATTCTGACATATATAAATTGAATCACCTATCAATAAAAATATAATTCAATCAACTAAAGAGAAATTTTATTTTATAGCTACAAGATCAGTATAAACAAATGGATATATTTTCTGAATTAGATCCTCTTGGCACAGGATCTAAAAAACCTTACATTGATAAAAAAGATTTTTTCCAGAATTTAAAAAATCCACCGAAAAAAGTATTAAAAGACTTAGCATCCATAAACTCGGAAGATACTTTTCCGACAAACTTTAATATAACACCTGAGTTATCCGAATCAAATAATACACAAAAAGTTGAAAGTGAATCAAATAAATTCGATGATATTGAGTTTGCTGATTTTGATAAATTTAGAGAAAAAGATGTTTCTACATCGGAAAATATAAAATCACCAAAAACTTATCGAAAGGAATTTAATAAAAAAGCAGTACAACATCAGGCATTATCAGTGTCTTTACCGCCTGAAGAAATACCAGCATCTAAATCTTCACATAACTACTCTATTACGAATTCTGTGACTTCTAGTAGATTTGATAGTAAAGATTCAATAGAAAGTATACAATCTCTTGTTAGATTACCAAGCCCTAAAAAATATTTACACTCTACTCGTAAAACCGAATTCATTGCAGATTATGGTGGAAACAAATCACAATCAATTGATAAGTCATTCCCCGTTGACTTTTCTTCGACAAGCAATTCACCGGCATCGCCATTAAGATCCTGTTCTTCTAGTGCTAATTCTAGATTGTCAAGTTCTAGTACAGAAATGGAAAATATACCCGAACCTCCTCCGCGAGGTACTGGAAGTATTCTAATTAATCCACCTCCACTTCCACCTAAAAAGCATAGTTCTAGAGCAGGAACCAAACCACCTCCAAGACCGCCTCATGGTGATGGACATTTTCATTATGATTTTTTAGAGTTAGAATATGGATCACCATCACCAACTCGAAAATTACGTGTAACTGGTTCACCAAAACATACAAGAGGCAGATTCGACGATAATTTTAGTCCTCCATTACCACAATTGCCAAAAAGATCTGATACAAGTTCAGAATTTTCAAATTCAAGCTTTGAGGATTCTTTTAATTCTATAATTCAATCACCATCCCCACACAAATCAGTTACCGATAATACAATATCAAATAAACCAGAAAAAAACTTGACGAATCTTACAAAGGATATAACATTAAATCAACTTACATCAACATTTTTAACAGACTTAGCTGATAATCTTGGAATGTCAGTAAAAGATGTGACAAGTTTAACATTACAACAATTAACAGAATGTATTGAATCATTAGCGAAAAAAGAAAATTCTCCTAAGATTAAAAAAGCACACTCTGAAGTAATTTCAAATACTTTAAAGAATATGGATATTAGTCCACTTAAAGAAATACAAAAATCAAAAGCAGAAACTCCAGTTGCGAATGAACCTCTTTTTAAAGCTACATTTGATCAAGAACTAAGCGAAAAAAATTCTAATAATTATGACAAATATGCTGTATTTCGAGAATTACTAGAAATGGAAAAAGTTCATGATATTACAATGCAAAAAACTAGCGAAGAAGAAGAACCCATAGAATCTGAAAATCAAGAAGAACCGGGCGACCTTGAAGATGATGTACAAAGTGATGAAATAGATGAAACGATAGCTTCTCTTGCAAACTTGACGGTTCAATTACCACCGGTTCTAGAAAATCAATCGAAGGAAATATCAACATATTATGAAATGAAATCTAGTACTGAACATATTGATTCTCCCAAAGAAAATGAAACTATCTCTCAAGAAGAAACTTCAAATGAAAAACAGAATTTTAACGACGACAGTTTTAATATAAGTGATTCATTTTCTGATTTGCAAAATATTCAGCATGATAAAAGAGAAAAAATTGACAAAGATGAAGATATTAAAGAGTCTGAAGAATCCTTAGATAATTTTATAATAACAGCCGAAGAAGTTAATGAATTATCAAAAATTATTGATAAAGCATCCGAAATAAAATCTTCAGTTTCCACATCTAATGATAAATACGCAGCTCTGCGTGAAATAATACCAGAAAGTGAACAGCCTTCAGTTAAGAAAGATAATTTTATTACTTCTCCAAAAAAAAAATTGGTAAGATCTTCGATAGAGGTTGATTTTCAAGATTTATTTTCTGATACCTTTTCTCAGCCATCAGTATGTATACCTACGAAAGTAAATATTAAAAAAGAGGAAGAAGCTCAAACTACTGTTTTGGATATATTTGAAGAAATAAAAATGTTAAATACGGATACTCATCGATTAAAGGAAATTAAACCTGTTTCTAATTTAGAATCTATGTTTTCTATATTTACTGAAACTAAACAGAAAAAAGAAAATATAAAAGACGATGAAAATTGGATGAAATTCGAATCAAACGTAGCTCAGTCTGATAAGTCATCAGGAGAAGGACAAGGATCTATTGGAGGTATATCTCCATGGTCTCCGGAAGGTAAAGAATTCAATCGTGAACCTATAGTTAAAAGAAATGTGCAACGGCTTTCAGGAGAAAGTGACAATGATTGGAAAGATGATGAAGAAAGTGAAGAAATGAGTGGAAGAATAAAAGGAGAAGGTCCGTGTTGTGGAAGATACCCAAGATATGATTTACCACCATTTGAAGATAGAAGCTTTTATGAAGAAACTACAGAAGGCGATAAAGATCGAGTGTTTCGTGATAAAATATGCCGAAAGTCAATGGGCACATCGTGGATAAAAAATACACATCGTTCACGCGAACCTTTACCGTGGCATGACGAAACAAGATGGGACGAGGAACGCAGACGGCGCATACATCGAAAAGTTCCTTACAAAGATGACGAAGAATACAAAGCCTATAGGAAGTGTCGACCGAAACAAAGGCCTTGGAATGGGGAAAGAGAAGGCTACTGGGGACCTGATCACCAATTTTATGACGATGAGTACAAAAGAAGAATGGCTTTATGGACTGAGGAAGAACGCGAAAATAGAGAAAGATTTAGTAGTCAAGAGAGTATGAGTTACGAAGACAGTGAAAGATGGTTTAGAAGAGAATGTGAAAGAAGAAGATACGAAGAGGATGGTATGTTTTATAGAGGTCGCGGACCAGAAGGAGAATATCCACCAAGAGAAAATTATAAGAAAAATGATGCGCATTATTTTCGCGAAGGTAGAGAACGGCATTATGACTATCCTCCAAGTTGGGAAGAAGAATATAGTTCAAAACGTCCTGAAGAATCGCCTCGATATATATCCAGGAAACAGCATTGGCCCAAACGACCAAATAGTGCAAATGATGGAAGAGAAATGATGTATGTAGATGTTAGACAAAAATGCGCTGTGTCACGATCAGAATGCAGTGACAATGATACTGATATATATCATCGTCCTTATAGATCAAGAAGCCGAGAAAGTTACTGGGGTAGTGATCAAGAATTTGAAAATTGGGGAGATAGATCTTATTGGTCAGAGGAGCAAGATGCTAAAAGTGAAAGTTTTCATCGCAAACGGATGAACAGGCATCGAACACGGCCTCATTCAAAACCTCAAAGTTCACAATTTGAAGATGATTTTACACAAAATATAGAACGTAATGAAACACCTAGTGATACTACAAATACAGAAGCTCGTATTCGCCCCGAAGTAGAAATAAAACAACCACTGAGTCCAAGAAGTCCTCGGGGAACTAAAGAGCAAATAAGACGAGAGCAAAAATCATATAAAGGATCCAATTATTTTGATGATGATCTTACACCAACTGCAAGTACTTCAAGCGATGCTTCTGATAGACAAAGAATAAGTTCTGATTTAAAAATAACCCCTGAAGAATTACCTTCAGACGTAAAAGATCCTGGAGTTGGTAGTTCAATGCCCGAAGGCAGTGTAAGAGATTCTTTTTTTAATGGTGGCCCAACATTTGACGATGATGCTTTTACATTTCGTTCCGAATTAGAAGATCAAGTACCCGAACGGGCAACGACATTACCAATAAAAAATTCTAGACATTTGAAATATGTGAACACTCGAGGCAAAGGTGACCAATATATAAAAAAGTCTGAATCTATAAATATATTCAGTCGAAACAACGATCCATTTGACGATGATGAATTTTTTAATTGATCAAAACAACCAACTGATTTCATTCGTATTAAAGGAAAGCCGCGATAAGAAATCAGTGTATCTTAATAACAGTCACCTATATATTACTTATATGAAGTGTACCGCTTTTAAATTTTGGATAGAAGTGTAGATTTCATTTGCGGATACATGAAAGAAAAATATTTTTGTACCGCATAAAAGCAATCACTGTTCTACTTTTCTTTTAAAACATAAGTATGTTTAAATAATTATAGTTTAATTTATTATATAATTGATAAATTAGTAAATTCATATATTTGAATAAAAACTCTAACGTACATTTCTCAATGTATTATATAACACAGCCAAATGTCGAGTAAAGAACAAAATTTATCTTGTAAAACGTATTATTATAAAATGAATTATTAAATATATTCTAAAAAGAACAATATTATAAAAAGGACTAACAAGTATTGTCAAAAATAATGCAACGTATTAGAGAAGATCTTTAGAATTTTATATACAATAATTTTATGTGTCACATTATTCATCAACGATATTATCGCAGAAAAGCATTTGCTTTAAAATGACGAATTATGTGCAATTTAGGAAATTTTTTGAAAAAAATTTGTTGAATATATAAAGGATGAGAATATCATGTTTTTTGAAATGTCGGTAATTTTATGTATCATATTCATTGTTAGTTAAATGTTCATCTAACAAAGTTTTAAAGAGTAATTTTAAGAAAGAATGAGAATTGAGCTAAAAATGAATTACAGGTCATAGAAAACATAAATTTCATAGAGATGTTTTAAATCTACAGTAAATCTATAAAATGTCATGTAATTCTTAGACAAGAATGATGTGCGAATGAAAAGTTTTAGATATGGAAGTATAAAATGTGAACAACGTAAAAGCGTAATTCCCTAAAATGTACATAGTTATTGCTATTTGTAAACCTAATCTTTGTTATTAATAATACTTCTCGAATTGAATTTCTGTTTTTATTATCCATTTCCATGTATTATAACTATAACAATAACATGAAATTATAATTTAAGATTAATATACTCAAGTTCACTATATCTGTAATAAATAATTATAGATCAGCAATAATACATTTTTCATTTTCATGATAATATGATAATGTCATCATATCATATTTATTATACATATGATATTTAATTTTTTTAAATGTGATATATTTAACTACACCATTTTTTTATTGCATTTAGTCTTCATAAATTAATAATTCACAGAAATTTGCATGATTTATAAAATTTATTTGAATATGCAATATATATATATATATATATATATATATATATATATATATGTATATATATATATAAATATGTATAAATTACTCTATTTAGAAAATGAATTATTAAGAGAATAAAATAATTACCATAAAATATTTTAATAAAGTTACTTCAATTTTGTAATATTAATAAAATACAAGTTTATATGAAATGCTTTGAAAATATTATTTACATAAATATGTTTTATTGCATTTCAGAACAAATTAAAAGAATAGTATTTATTAAAATTTTGAAATATTTATCTCATAGACATTAAATTTATTATTCACCTAATTAATTTATAATTAAGTAATTAAATTTTATTTTATAACCATAAGTATTAAAATTATTATTGTATTTTTCAAAAATCAATTCTTCAACATACTATAAATTCATAAAATATAATTTAAAAATGAAATTAAATATAAAATTCAAAATAATTTTCTTTATTTTATTATTATATATCCAGTTATATCATAACATTATTAAGATGGTCAAATAATTCTTATCTATTGAATTATGAAGATACACTTTTATTTAAAAATTAAATTATAAAATTTTTTATTTGATTATTCAAGTAGATAGAATAATAGTAAAATAAAGTCAAAGAATTATTCTATTTTATATTTATTTTAACTAGAATTATGTTTTTAGAACTTCAAAGTAATTACAAATTTGTATTGCTATTTTATTTAAGTTGTCTTTAATATGTTAACTCTTAAATTATATTTATATAAAAATAATACTTGTGAACGTATTTTTTGGTAAGTTTTATAAAAAAAGCATGCATTTCAAAAATGTTTTTGTTTATTTTAATATACTTTTATACATTTTTTTTTTAATTTATCACATTATTTGAATTTTAAATAATAAAAAACTATCATACCTAATTTTTTTTTAAAAAGAATGTATTTCTTTCAATTAATTGATCTAATCATGTAATATTACTTTCAAATTTTCATTAAGGCAATTAATAAAAGAGTAAATAATATTTTAAATATTTCGATCGCTTGTGTAAATTAACTAATTAATAGTAACTTATTGCAGATAATCTGTAAATAATGTATATGAAAAACATTGATCTCAAAAACCAACATTTTCTAACTCAGAATTGATGAAAATATGTTACATAATGCACAAAACTTCTGATATATCTAGAATTAAATGATATATTTTTCAATAATTTTTTAATTGGATTATATTTTAATTTAATTATAAATAACTTTATTATTTTAATATAATCTTGTTTGATATTACATACTTAGTACTGTAACAGGTTTTCTAAATAATGAAAAATTTCGCACTATTTTGGATCAAAACATATTTAATTGTTCCATTTTAGTGATAATTTACTTTCATTTTCTTTTTAATAGTTTTCAAGATAACGTTCACTTTTTTAAAATGCAATCGAACACTAATTCAATGTTCTATAACGATATGCATAGACAGAAGATACATCCATGGTGGTAATAAGATTGAAAGGAGATTACAGTACCGCTCAGTAAACACTTATTGATGTTTCAAAATCTATGAAATATTAATAAATGAGAACTTCAAACTTTCATTTACATAATATATAGCTAAAGAATGAAATATTGATAAACAACATAATGTTTAATATGAGAGAAACTCAAAGTTAGAAAGATATTGGAAATTTTCATTTCGCATAATTTACAAAAATTCAAAATAAAATAGTTACAAAGTTCATTAAATATTTTATTAAACATTATAAATATTAACGAAATATTGTTACTTAATATATTACAAATAAATCACTGAATTCTCATAATTATTGCAAAAGAATATATTATATAAATATTTGTCAAATAATACAAATATATAAAAATGAAATTGAGGTCATTTTTTTGTTGTTGTTATCTTCTCAAAAAGCATCTTGACAGAGATTTTAAGATTTACTATACAAGTAAGTACATAAGCTTCTTATGCATGTATATACGTTCAATGGGCACATTTACACAGATGTATGTGTATTTATACATAGCGTTATACACTATTGCAACAAAACTGAATATTTTGCTCTATACATTTCAGGGTCCTCTCCTTGAGAAATCCAGCTATAGAACAACGGGTCGACAATCCCAATTATAAACATTTCTCATGCCCTTTTGGAGCTGCATTTGCCAAGAGTATACTCTTGCGAATATACAACCCGCGGTTCATTTTTCCAGCCCTACACATAGAATCGCTTAGTCCCCTCGCGTTCTCTTTTATAACAAAAGTACTTTTCGAGCCTCGAGTGCGCATTAGCTCGTGCTCCGATCTAAGTAAAATGAAATCTACAATTGTGAAAGAAACAAGAAATCTTAGATATTCTTTTAATAACACTGTGCATCATATAACTAAACAGTGAAATTGTAATATTGCAGACAAAATTTATTTAAACTAGGAACGTATTATAATTCCAATGTCGATAAAATATAATCATTATAATATTTATCTGCTTTTGTTTTAAAATAGATAGTTGTATTAATATAAATTTCTTATACGTTTTATTTTAATATTATTTAAACTAGTGAAAAATTTGTATTGAATTTAATATTCCATAGTTATAATATTGATTATTTCAAATCTAACGCTAATTTGAAAAAATTTCCTTTATTTAGAGATAATATTATTATGTAACTTTAATATCATAATCATGTTTCGATAACTATTTCATCTAACATTTAATGTTTTTAATATACATTCGAAACTATTATTGTTTCAATAATAACTCTATTATAATTCAATTTCCAGTAACAAAGCGTATAGTTAAATAACTGTAATAAGAAAATAATTATTAGCAAATGTAAAATGCATTAATTACATTTTACAACAAGTTTTACAATATAAACTATTTCAATTTATACGCAACAGCTGTAACTAATAATACTGTAGGAAATAAGTATTTGCTCTAAAAATAAAATTAGAAATAATCTGCTCAATTTATTTATTATAAAATTGATGACACAACTATTTTATAGAGCCAATTACTTTATTTATTACAATTATCAGAATATTAAAGAATAATACAATATTATTCTAATTGTAGAAATTTTTATTAAAGTTTTAAATTTGCTTACGGAGTATTAATTATAATATTCATATTGTTCGATTAAAGTATAAATTATATCATCGTTTATTTAATCATTATTTAAAATAATTGTTATAGAGGTTATATATATGTTTAAGGAAACTTTATATTCGAGCACACAAACATTAAATAATATGACTAAATTAACAATAAAAGAACATTCAAATTTTATTTACATAATATAATATAATATAAGTAGTATATTATAATTGTACAATTATATACATTACTATTTCCTATAATATTAATTTATCAAAATTACGAATTTTAGTAGCTTACATATCAGTACTTTTGATCATGCGCTTTTACAGAAAATTTTTAACGAACGTTTATAAATCAATTATAATAGAATATGCAATATAATGAATGATATTAAGTATTCACATATCTGTTATACTTATTTTTCGTTAATTTTTGATAATTTTTTGTAATTTTTTTAATATTTTTGAAGATTATTCAAAACAATAATTATATCTTAGTCATTAATATAACGGATTTAATGAATAGAATAGTAATGAAGAGAAAATGAGAAAAATAGAAAAGAGAAAAAGAATTTCATATAAAACTTTCGAATTTCCAAAAATTATAATAACCACAAAGTGGAAGATTTTATATTCTAAGTTGGATAGGACTTGGAAAATATTTTAATAAACGAAAATAAAATTCATGCGCATTGTCTAATTACTATAACAATATTTCAAATACAATTAAGGTGGCTTAAGTACAGACTACCATAATGATATAACCCTTAAATAACCTTTAAAATACAGAATGTTTCTTTTTTCATCTAAAAAAGTATAGTTCACAGTGCCTAAACGAGGCCAT